CACAACCCAGCTCTAATGTTGTAACTTTAAACTCACCTTCCTATCATGATGAGAGCAGGGTACCAATATCTCTTCCAAGAAATTAAAAGATTTTATGAGAGCTTTAAAAAAAAATTGGCAAAGTTAAAATGAAGGAGAAAATTCCTTTTAGACCATTTAGATAAGTTAGGTGTCATTATACTTGAAATCAGAGGTAAAATATATACTCAATTAAATTTAGCTCTGAACTTACTGGTCATAAAGACAGAAATGGAAATGATCTTACATAATTGCCACTGATTATTAGTTCTACAGATTTTCTTTTCTCACAATCCTTCTTTGAGTTACTCCATAAACTATAAAGAATAAYCCATACTACATGACATTCTGTTATTACTTAAAAATTGGTACCAAAATCTATTGTATTCTGATGATCTTCCCTGTATTTGTACAAAATAGTATCAGCATACACTGAGAGTTTACATGAGAAGATGTAAGACTCCTCCCGAGTATTTTTTTAAATTTCATCCCTGATTTCTTCTGCTATCCATTGGTCATGCAATAGWATATTATTTATTTCCAGATGTTAGAGTAGCTTCTATTTTTTATTTTATCATTGATTTCAGATTTCATTCCATTATGTTCTAATAGAATGCAAGATATTATCCCTACTTTTTGTATTTTCCAAGAGTTGCTTTATGGTATAAGATAAGGTCTATTTTAAAGAAGGATCCAGGTGCTGCTGAGAAAAGACTATATTCAATCATTGATGGAAGAAATACTCTATATRTGTCTGTTAAATCTAAATTATTGATTGTATTGTTTAGTTCTATAATTTCTTTGTTCAGTTTTTGTTTGGAGGCTCTATACAGTAGTGAAAGAGGTTTGTTAAAGTCACCCAGTATTATTGTGCTGTGGCCTATTTGATTCTTGAAATTCAGAAAGCTTTTTTTATATACGTAGAAGCTCCATTGTTTGGGGCATAAATACTTAAGATTGTTGATTCCTTTAAGCAGTATGAAATGTCCATCTTTGTCCCCTCTGATTAACTTTAGCTTCAAGTTCACTTTACTGATATGAGGATAGAAACCCCTGCTTGTTTATGCAACCCATGTGAATGATATGCTTTTTCCCATCCTTTCACCTTCGGTCTGTAGATGTCTTTGCCTATGAGGTGACACTTTGGAGTCAGCATACTGTTGGACATTGTTTTTTAATCCAATCTTCCAGTCCATGTAATTTGATTGATGAGTTTACATTCGAGGTTATTATTGAGATATGATTTGTATTCCCAGTAATCTTGGTTTAATTTGTATTAGTTTCTCCTTAGACTGATTATTCTTTTAGTATATAGTTCCTCTCTTTGCTGTTTTTCACTTTTCATTTCATCTCCATGGAATTTTTGCTGAAAATGTTCTACAGTACAGGCTTTCTAGTTGTGAATTCTTTTGTTTATTATGGAAGGCTTTTAGATCATCTTCAAATCAGAAGCTTAATTTTGCTGGGTATAGAGTTCTTGGTTGGCATTCATTTTCCTTCACAGTGTGGAATATATTATTCCAAGACTTCCTAGCTTTGAAGATCTGGTTTGAGAAATCAGCTGAGACCCGAATTGGTTTTCCCCTAAATGTTATCTGAGATTTTTCTCTGGCAGCCTTTAAAATTCTATCTTTGGGCTCGGGTGGTAGCTCAGTGGCTGAGCGCTTGCCTCAAATACTTGGGATCGATCCTCAGTACCACATACAAAAATGAATAAATAAAACAAAGATATAAAATAAAATCCTACCTTCATTTGGTATGTTAAGCATTTTCATAATAATGTGCCTTGGTGTGAGTATATTGTCATTTTGTACATTCAGAGTTCTGTAAGCCTCCTATATTGGATTTTCCATTACATTCTTTAAGTTTGGGAAGTTTTCTAATATCATTTCATTAAAAAGATTATGCATTCCTTTGGTATGTATTGCCATACCTTCATCTATCCTGATAAATTTTAAATATGGTCTTTTCATGTTATCCTATATTTCTTGGAAGTTCTATTCATATTCTCTTAACATCTTCTCTCCATGGTCAACTTTATTTTCAGGATTATATATTTTGTCTTCATTCCTGAAGTTCTGTCTTCCAAGTGATTTAGTCTGTAGATAATGMTTTCCATTGAATTTTAATTTGGTTTATTAATTCCTTCACTTCAAGGATTTCTGCCTAATTTCTTTTCAAAATCTCTATCTCTTTATTGAAGTGATCTTTCACTTCCTGAATTTTGTCTCTGATTTCCCTCCTTATACCATCCTTTACCTCATGGGTCAGTTTAACTATGTACATTCTAAACTCCTTCTCTGACATTTCTTCTACCGTGGATTCTATCATTGGCACATCTTAATTTGTTTGGGATAATTTGTTCCCTTGTTTTTTTATGCTATTTGTGTATCTACCTATTTAGCAGTGTAGATCTGAGGCAGTACAGTTTCTAACCTGTAGACTTATAGYGTCCCTGAAATTTTCCAGTACCTTGCCTTTAAGGGGAAGACAAATAATAACAGCAATCAATGCAAACAATATACAGCCTTATACCAAATAGCTCCTACTATAACATCTACAGTTTTGTTGAAATAAACATAAATGATGTGTTCAGTTATTGTCTATAATAAAAACTGTAAGTTTGCAAAAGGGTTTACAATTTCAAATGGTGGACAAAGAGAAACAGGAGTAGTATACAATATGATGTTTATGAGAAATGAGGAGAGAAGATAGAAGTAAAAAAAWTATAGGAAGAGTGAAAGAGGGAATAATAGAGGTTAGCTGTTAGCAGGAAAAAAGAGAAAAAAAATCAAAGGAAAAGAAAAATAAGAGAAAAAAAACATATATAATAAAAATTTTTGAAAATAAAAATTAAAATAAAAACAATTAAAAATACAAAGATAAAAGTATAAATGCAAGAATACAAAGTGAAACTGCAATATACTATTCAGACATCCTAGTCCTCAATAAACTGATTCATGGAAAATAATTGGTTTCAAAAATGGTAGAAATTTGGGAGAAAAAATAAAAAGAGAAAAAAGTCTCGATGAAAAATTGAATAATTGTTTCTGTTGGAGCTCAAAAGTTTCTCAGCTTCCCTTCTCAGCAGTTAGATAGGATTGTCTGTAGTCTGATGCTTGCTCCACCCTCAGGGTGGATGGGGTAGCTAGGGTGAGATGGTTAATCCTGGAGGCAGAACTCCTCGAGTTGGGGTGTAAGCTCAGGTATGCTTCTAAGGTATGCTCTTCACCAAATGACAATTGGTCTATAGATTTTAAGTCAAAGCACCTTCAGGACCTAGTAATTGCCAGTCCACGCTGGAAGACTGCACTCCAGGAATCTCCTTTGGGTTCCACTGTGATATAGGAGCCTGTTTTTAGTCCCCTACATTGCCTGAGGGCCCCACAATTTCTGGTCTCTGATTCAGTCTCCAAACTCAATCTCTCCAGCCCCTGTCCTTTTGAATTCCTGATCAGGTGCTTCTCTCCCAACTGGTCCTGAGGTCTGGGAGCAAGGACCTGCATGCCAGTCACAAAGATAAGTGCTGGACTGGGTGAGTCTGGCGGCTATGTGATGCATGGGGTGAGTTGAGGTCCTGCCATGTTGGGGCCCTGCTGTTTTGTGTCGGGTGGATCAAAGACAGGCACTGAGACCCAACAGTCAGCAGTGAAGCTACAAGGGATGGGCTAGATTGGGGGCCAGGGAGGGGATTGGGAGACTGGAGACTAGGGCCTGGGAAGCTGGAGGGCCATGTTGGGTGCCAGATTGATGCCAGATTAATTCCAGACCTGGTGGGACCAGGGGACTGTTGGATGCTGGACTGAGTAGGGAGTTAAGGGACCAGGCTGGTGCCAGGACCAGCAAGTGCTGGCCCAAGTGGGCCCCCAGGAACCTGGTAGGTGTCAGACCAGCTGGCTGGGCAGGCTGAGAGCAAAATAGCCTCACACCCTCTTCCAACCTTCCAATTTTGATCCACTATAGTCAGCCCTGTCAGTCCTTGCAAGCCTCAGACTCAAGGAGCTAAGGAGAGCCCAGCTTTATCCTGCCTCTTTAACCTGTGTTCCCCTGGGCGAAATACTCCCAGTGTTTGACTTTCCACAGGATGGCTGGGATCAGACAGGCCCACACCAACCTAGTTACAAATTCACGGATCTGGGTTTCCGGTTTCCAAAGGCTCTGCCACACTGCACTCCCCAGTTAATCACTATTAACATTTAAGTATGCTTCCTTTTTGTCTTTTTTTTTTTTTTTTCCTCCAGATACTGGGTAAATGTGAGTGTGTTCCACATAATTGTGAGCCAGATGTTTTCACTAAACACTATAAATAAATGCACTTTCCATCTTACCAAAAGCTTTTTTAAAAAAATAATTACAATACTATTAAATGGGATGATTCATCATGTTTTATATAATTATTCCCCTAGGGACATTTTCACAGAAAACCTAGCTCATCCAAATTCATCTCTAATTAAACAGGTACAAGGGTGTTTTACAGCAGGAAGCTTCCATGTTCAATTTCAACTCCAGTTATTTTCCACTGTCATCATCACCACATTTCTTCAGAGCCCTTGTTCATACAGTTTGATGGGTTCCATAGTTTATGAAATCAGAGATGCACTACATTAGTCTTGTTCTTTTTAACTTTTGATGAATATGTTTTAGATGATATGTTGTTGGTTATCTTTGTTTTGTTTTTAGTGCTGGGGAGCTGGGGATCAAACCCAGGGCCTTATGCATACTAGGCAAGCACTCTACCACTGAGCTTACCCCCAGCCCATGAGTGTGCTTTAGAGACAGACACACGGCGATAGAAGAGGAGAGGTAGGGCTCTAAGTAACTAGAGAGGACATAAGGGTGGCACAACAATAACAAACATCTGAAACACTGCCCAGGGCATAAAAATTACACTCACATAAAGATTTTAATTTTTCTTTCTCTCTATTAAAAAAATTATCACCTTGATGCCTTTGACAACAACTTAAAATCAAACTGTTTCTTACCAGTGCCAATACATTTAGAAATTCTCTTGTGTCAAAATGTAGCAAAGTTCGAACATAAGGATAAATTTCTTCCTCAGGGGATGCTTCTGCCGAATGTAGGCGAATCAGAAATTCGAAAACCTATGAGGAGAAAAGCAAACTGTTGATCATTTTCTCTTCTTATAAAGTATCTTATTGAAGCAATGATGCCCATCTGGATAAAATAAAGGCAAACTAAATTCAGTTCAAATCACCACTATATAAAAAGTTCTCTCTTAAATCCTCTCTGAGCTAAAACTGTCCATTTTAGCGAAAGCAAGTAGGCTCTCTCCTATACAGGCAGTAGTTCCTGAGCCAAGTATAATCCTCATCTGCAATATCTTCAGTGCATCTCAGTAAGAAGTGTAAACAACTAAAAATGCAATGAAAACAGTACCAACCTGGTTTTTAACCAAGGGAACAAGATCTTCAGGGATATCACCAAGGGGATAGGCTCGACCTGCCAGACAACAACTAGAAGAAAAGAATGGGAACAGATCTGATCACTTGCAAAAGCGCAACTTTCAAGTGAGTAACACACTATTCCTCAAACCTGAGATACTAATTTGATCTTGAAGTAGACTCAGTTTTTGTCAATTAGGTCAAGTTCAAAATCAGATCACTGTTAATTTACTGTAGAGTTATATATTTAATGACAATATACGTATACTTCAAAAAACTAGAAGAAAGAATTTTGAACCTTTTTTTTATCACAAAGGATGTTTGTGGAGAGAGGTTTACCCTGATTTAAATATTATGCCATCTATACATTTGTTAAGACATCACATGGCACCCCTAAATATGTACAAATTTTATGTTTTATGTACTCAATAAAAAACCTAAAATTTTTTTTAAAAATATGACATACAGTTCAGAAAATATAGGACATGAAAATGATGGTGAAGTACCACATCCTGTGACAGAGTGGTGGCTTCCATTTCCTGCACTAAAGGGGCAGAAAGGAATGAGAACACACTACCCTTACACCTCATACTTAGTATTTAGAAAACTGAATGGCAACATTAAACTATGAGTTACCTGTTAAAAGCCCCACTCTTAGAGACATTTAAACCAGTGATTTTAAGAATGGTGATTTTAAAAATGGGGCATGAACTAGCATAATAAATATCTGGAAAATGTCTGCAATAGGACAAGCTTTTAAGGAGAGTTAGAACCTGAGGCAAAATTCACTCTATAGTTTCTTGTTGTTGTTGCTATTTTGTTGATTTTCTTATTTTGCAGTGGTGGTGCCTCCCCCCAGGGCCTTATGCATGCTAGGCCAGCACTCGACCACTGAGCTACATCCCAAGATCCTCTTGGAGATTCACCTCCAAATAAGACCTTCTTTATGATTAATGACCTACCTTATGGACTGAATTATGATAAATTTCTTCTGAATATGTTTTCTTTTTGGTTTGGGGAAGAGCAACTTTAAAAATCTTTGAGCCAGTCATCAATTTTCAATATTAGCCTAGAGACAAGTGGATACCAGCATACTCTAAAGAGTTTAAAGTACAAATGATAAAGTACCAAGAAAACACAATGTTCTTTCTCACCAAAGAGTCAATGCAGCAATGTATAATGAGTCTCAAAGTTAACCCTCATGCTAAACAAGAACTAAAATGAGACTCTGACAGGTTCTGCCACCTTCCTATCTTCCTACCAACCAGTTATCTAGCTAAAAGTTCTCTTTGGAGTCAATTCCGAGCCAATATAGTCTATTGGAATCAATTCTGCTCCAAGAGTAAGAGACAAAAATTCTAGTTTTAGCTCTATCACTTTTTCATGATTTAAACAAATCTCTTGCCCTTACATATAAACTAGAAGTACTATATATCATACAGAATTTCTGGTAGTAAAAATAAAATATCCTATATCAGGGTTTCTCAACCATAGTCCTATTGATATAYTGGGCTACGTAATTTTTGTTGTAGGGATTACACTATGCACTGTGGGATGTTTGACATCCTGGCCTCTGCCCACTAGATACCAGTAATATCCTGGATGGATATAACTAAACATGTCTTTAAAGATTGCCAAACATGAGAACCACTACTCTGCATAAAAGAACTTAGAAAAATGAAAAGTACTATATGGCTAAGACATAGAATCTCTTAAATATATAGGAAAGTACAGAAGAAACATGGTCACAGATGAATAAATAAAAATCCCTTACCTAATATATACAAGAAGCTTGTTGCCCATAACAACTTGCTCATCTAAAATAGAAAAATATCTTTAGCAATTCTTTYTCAAAACCTTGTCAGAAATACAATCTTCATGTGGAAACAAAATGTAAAACTTGGCATTTAAGATGAGATAAATATATTTATTTCCAAACAACAGAAAATTGAGATAAGACCACTTGAACTTAAAAAAAAAAAATCATTGGATTCTATTCATAGAAAAAATCCATGAGTTAGTCAAAGACACATGTGGAAGGAAYAGACCTGCGGGTAGAAATCTATGTGCTGTTATCTTAAACCCTAGCTTAGGACCAGGGAAAGGCATAAAGCAGGCAATGAGTTCAACTGTAGATGAAGACCAATTAACTGACACTAAGGCATAACTATGCCTTCTCATTTATTAACATGGACTTTTACCACTCCTAGTGCAGTAGGGTTGAGAAGGCCATTGTTTCTAAATGTTTAAAGTAACTTAGCGCAAATAAATGATCTTTAGAGCCCTTTCTATTCTAACATGTCAAAAAATGTAAAATTCTGTCATCTGATTATATAAACCAATATGTAAACAAAAAGGTATGTGAAAGATAATTAGGTCAATTTTTAGTCCAAAATGTCAAAGGCAACATAGAATGAAGTAAGGGTGAAGTAATCAGGAATTTGTGTGGTATGCAGATTATGGGAATCTGTGGTTGGTAATAAAGATAAGGTAAAGTTTCTAATTTAGATGTGAATATGAGACATAATGCCAGCAAATACATATGTTTTATCCTTTTTAAATACTCTAAATATGTGATGTAATTCATACAAATTTGAGTTGCTAAAAATTGTATGAATAATTGAATTTTGCCTGAATTTCAAATGTTATTTGATTCAACTCAACTAGTAATATATGGTAGCAATTGCCTTACGAATATACCGTATTCATGTTTATTGACTCATTAGGTAAACACTTTAATTGTTAGAAATCTCAGGTAGAATGTGTCTAGCTCATAATATTCTTAGAGTTAAATTTACTTGTTTAACATGTGTATCACCATTATTCCACTCCTATGAATTTATTAGGAGCAGGTTATCTGTGTTATCTCTATTTCTAGCACCCAGTACAATGTCTAGCACTCGGGAGGTGATTAGTAAATGCACAGTGAACTGAACTGATAAAGTTCTTGATTTTGTACAACTGAACTATCCCCAATATCCTCTTTTATAAAAGCTCAACAGTTCCATTTGGATGTTTCAATACTATACTACACTTTCRTTTCTGGTGGACATTTATGTGAAAGTCAATTTTCAAGTCTGTTTCAAAAAGATTAGGTTCAGGGCCACTGATAGGCACAAGAGGTTAAGACTATACAAAATGACTCCCCTTGCCTCACCCTCAAAAAAAAAAAAACAAAAAATCCTGTAAAAGCTGGGCATAATAAAAGAAACTACCTAAAGTTATTAAACAGTGAATAGAAGCATAAAATCTGGCAGGGGGTTCAGATTCACTTGGGGGAAAGACAGGCAGCCATACTTTTATCTCCTACAGCGTAATGTGACTTGAATACATGAGACAGACAGCACATGGAAAAACCCCTGATCTTTCTGGCCTAGGGGAAAAGTGAAACCAAGAAATCAGGAATGGGCTGGAGTTGTAGCTCAGTGGTAGAGCACTTGCCTAGCATGTGTGAGACACTGGGTTCAATTCTTAGCACCATATATAAACAAATTAAATAAAGGTCCATTGACAACTAGAAAAAATACGTTTTTAAAAAAGTCTTTTTAAAAAGAAAGAAAGAAAGAAAGAAACCAGGAATGGAAAAGACAGACAGAAAGGAGGGAAAGARGAGGGAAGGAAAGGTTGCACATAGATATGAGTGGTAGGAACATGAAGTTAAAGGGATAGTTCTACAAAATGGGCCTATGTGCTGGCCCTTCTCATGTTTTCTTTTAAAAGCAATTTACCCAGGGCCATTCTGGTCCTKCTCTGGCTTAARTCAACAGGATATGTTACATCGCTCCACAAGTAACCCATTATATGCAGATCTATTCTCCAGGCTGAGGAACTTAAGATTCCTCCCTTCCAATAAGAAGGACATGAGTCACCCTGAAGAAGAAACTTTTGTGACCTTTATACCAACCAGAGTTCAAGACCCAGAAAAACAGAATAATTAGAAACAAAGCCCACTGACTATAAAAATCTGAAAAAACAAATTCAAATTAGAACCAGTCAGTACAGGCCGAAGTGACCAAGAGCTGCCTTCAGATCTCCAGCATGTCATTTTAATCTCATATATACTAGTAAAATCTTTTCCACCCACCATGGGTTTCTCTTGGGTGCCTATGAACAAAATCAAGTGCATTAAGAACTTCAAAATATGCTGCCTACTGTTAATCAAARGTTGAGAGGTGGTACCTGGACAAAACTCTCTAGAAACTTCCCTGAGACCTCCTCTAAAACCAGGGAACAAATGGGTACCACTGCTCTCTCCTCTTTGAAACAACTCACATTCTCCTTTGAGGGTGTCTTTCCCTTCTCTAATAAATCTTGCTATATTTCTACTATATTTTGTGTTATCCCTGAACAAATACAATTCTGAGATAAATAAAAGATTAGAACTAATGGACAAGAAAGAAAAAAAAAGAAACTATAATTATCCTCAATGAAGTAAAATAGGACATGTTTCAATGCATGAAAATTTCAACAGATAAATGAAGATAAATCTAGCAGAACCTATAAAAAATAACTAAATAGAAATTACAGATTCAAAAACACAATTGTTGAAAACAAAAATTCACTGAGTGGAATTAACAGCTAAATTGACAGGAAAGAGGAAAGAGCAAGTGAACCTGGGGGTAGGGCAATAGAAATCATCCATGGTGGAGAAAATAGAGTGGGAAAAAGCCCAAACAAAACAAAAATTAGGATCTGGGGATACAGCTCAGTGGTAGGGCACTTACTTAGCATATGTGAGGCTCTGGGTCTATCCCCAGCACCACAAACAAAATAAAAATCTAGCAGGACACACTCTGAAATGGTGGAATGCACTCCTCCAAAATCCTGTTCTTCCATGAAAGTAAATTCTTAAAATCAACTTTTTTAGAACTCTTGAAAAAGTAAAGAGTTGCTGTAATCTGAGGAATATTTATTCAAGAAAAATGCCTAAATCTCAGAAATAACTATGAGTGGGCTTTATAGTGTCTAACTTTATCTACTACCGTGCTATTTTTCCCAGCTTAAAACCAATAACCTCACAACTTCCACAGCTGTGAAAAACAGCAACTGAGAAGTCACCTGAAGGGGAAAAAAATGGGGTTGGAACTCTCAACTGTCCTGTCTCAGAGAGTTGGCTAGCTCTAATCTCAGGAAAATTACCTGAGAAAATTAGGGGAAAAAATAAAATAATGGAGAATAACAGAATCCAGAATCTCCACATGCCTCTTCTTGTCCTGACTCAGAATTCATTCTGTAGTAACAGCACTATCCCTGACATTTCTGAAAACAATCAGTGCTCTCCAAAAAACATACAAGAATAAACAGAAGAAGGGTCTCCAGAGGTGTCTGAAAATCTCTATGTGCAAGACTGTATAGGTACCCAGGGAAGATCAGAATCTATAAGCTGTGGCTGACTCTGAGGCTCAGCCTAAGTCAGAAGTGAAGGCTAAGGAGAAAATTGTAAACTGCCTGCCAAAGGACTAAAAATTCCAAAATAAAATTAAACAAGAATTGGGTCCCTGGTTTCCAGTCTTACCATGTGATCCTTCTTACATGTGTTACTGTAAGGATATCTAAAGTAAGGCCCTCACAAGAGCCCAGCAAAAGCTGATGACTGAGGACTCCRAGACAGTACTGAAAACCACCAGACCAAACATGGGTGAAAAAAAACTCCTWCACGGCTGGGGATGTGGCTCAAATGGTAGCGCGCTCGCCTGGCATGCATGCGGCCCAGGTTCRATCCTCAGCACCACATACAAACAAAGATGTTGTGTCCGCCGAGAACTAAAAAATAAATATTAAAAATTCTCTCTCTCTCTCTCTCTCTTAAAAACAAAACAAAACAAAAACAAACAAACAAAAAAACTTCCTACATAAAACAGGTTACACTGACTCCTATCATGGCTTTGACTGACTTCTGCATTCCTGTAGAGAAAATAACACTGGGGACTGTGGAAGGGTGCTGCAGACAATATAAAGAATGGAGAACATTTATAGAACTGATTGACACAGCAGAAATAATCAGAAAGGCAACATCTTAGTCCTTGTTCAACTTGGACAAGTTGGGAAGAGGGAAGAGAACCTAGGATGGAATTGCCATTGTTATGCTATACTTGTGCATTTTATTAGGGATATGAAATCATCAACCCTGTTCATCACCCATTACCCACCAGTTTATTAACYAGAGAAAAGTTACAACAGGTGAGGAATTGCCATGTGAGATTTTTGGTCATTGAGGATGAAAGCAAACAGAAACAAGCCCTGATTTTTGTCACTTTTAAAAATCAATCAGCAGGGCTGGRGATGTGGCTCAAGCGGTAGCGCGCTCGCCTGGCATGCCTGTGGCCCAGGTTTGATCCTCAGCACCACATGCAAACAAAGATGTTGTGTCCGCCGAAAACTAAAAAATAAATATTAAAATTCTCTCTCTCTCTCTCTCTCGCTCTCTCTCTTTAAAAAAAATCAATCAGCAAACTACAATGAAGAGTTATAGACTAAATGTGTAAACTAGAAGACATTCCTGGAGAAATTTTAAACAGCTCTCAAATCAAAAGGTGGAAGTATGAAACACTTCAAATATGAAAAGGAAAAAGCTATTTTGCAAAATTGTGGATGACAAACAATGCAAAAGACCAGCAAAACTGGATAGGCAAGTTTGAAATGGAGGAAATACATACTTCTCTTCTTGATAACAATGAAGATTACATTTTTAACAAAAAAAGGAAAATTAATTCTACCAACTGCACAAAATATTTCTCTAGTAATAGACTGTGTGACATGTGAGCATAAAATTATGACCATGCCATATTTCTAATGAAAACAAAACAGTCTCTAATAAAGAAAGTCTTTTTTAAGTCCAGCCTTCCTGACTTTCTGAAGTATAGATGCTTTTAAATATTGACTTCTACTATATAATCACAAAATTTCAAGGACAATAAGTTTCACATAAAATAGAAAACTTCTAAGTAAAGCCTAAAGTGGTAGAATGCAATTAATGAATTTTTGGAAGGTGTTCTAAATATTTAATTCACATTTTTGTTTCAGTTTATATATGTGGCAACTGAGTGAATCTGGAAGGAACATCTGTCTTTGCATTTGAACTAAAATTATGAAGATTTCTGTTTCCATTTTGCATCAGTTTCTTCTGCTCTGGGATACGTTGGATTCCAGGAACAATAAGTCTGATTAATAAACATCTTGTGATAAAACTAGCACCAGGAAACAGCAATAGTTTTCTGTTTGTTGGTAATTTTGGAGGAGGATAGGGTACTGGGGATTGAGCCCAGGGACACTTTACCACTGAGCTATATCTCTAGTTCTTTTCATTTTGTATTTTAAGACAGCATCTCACTAAGGTGCTAAGGGCCTTGCTAAGTTACTGAATCTGGCCTCAAGCTTGCAATCTTCCTGTTTCAGATTCCTAAGTCACTGGAATTACAGGTGTGCACCACAGCAATAGCAACTTTCTTATGCACAAGGCCCTGCCCAACCAGTCCTGGGATAATGATCAATCAGACCACACAGTGTGATCAAGACTGCTTGATTATGCACATTTCTGGTCTACTTTTTCTATGTAATCTGGAAACTCATGTTAATACCACCAAAGACAGGATTGGAAATGCTATTCTCCTTAATCTTCCCGGTATAGCTATATTGATTCAAGTTCCTTTCCTGCTTTTCATCATTACTTTTCTTTTTGGAAAACACACACACACACACACACACACACACACACACACACACTTATTAGTTATAGACAGACACAATAACATCTTTTTTAATTTATTTTGATGTGATGCTAAGGATCCAACCTAGTGCCCCACACATACCAGGCAAGCACTCTACTACTGAGCTCACTCAGCCCTCTCTTTACTCCAGCCCTTTCTTTGGTTTTTAAAGCAAGTAGCCAGACCTGATTTGTTGGTATCTTCAAGAGATGGGTCTTAGGCCTAGCACTATGGTAGAAATGCCACCAATTTATTCACCATGAACATAAGAAATGTTTTATAAGAAATAGAATTATCAAAGCTTTTGAAAACTAGAGCACAAAAGAAAGATTGTATAAAATTCCAGAAGTATCATAGTTTTTAAGCAGGTTATAGATTGTTGGATGAAACTGTCATTAATTCAAGTAATAAATATTTTGTGTATACTTGCTATAAAAAAATAAGCAAGAACTGACAGAATTGAAGTGAGAAACAGACAATTTGGCTGGGCACAGTGGTGAATGCCTATAATCCTAGCTATTCRGTTAGATGAGGCAGAATAATTCCAAGTTCAAGGCCAGTGTGGGCAACTTATCAAGACTGTGTCTCAAAAGAAAGAAAAGGACTGGGGATATAGTTTAGTGGTAGAGCACTTGCCTAGCATGTGCAAGGCCCTAGGAACACACAAGGAAGAGACAATTGAACAACTGAAGACTTCAATACCATACCTTCAATAATGGATAAAAGAAGTAGTGGAAGATAAATAGGAAAYAGAAGATTTGAACAAACTATAAGCCTGAAGCCACTCAGTAGATTAACTTGCTCCTACTGCTAACCAGTCTGATAATTGAAGTCAGTGAAGAGGAAAACTTGTTTCTAGCACTAGCAAGTCATTTTTCATAGTTTGTTTTGCGTCACTCTCCTATGTCTCACTCYTCAAATAATTAACCAGTAAAGTCAGCTTTACCTGACAAGAAAAATAAAGGGAAAAAATCAAAGAATAACTCCAGTCACATGACCTACTAATCAGTTCTTTCTTTAGATTTTTTTTTAGGAACCAGGAATGCCTGGATACCTGGTAACCCATGAACAACAGCAAAGCGCATCAAGGGAACTGACTACTCCAAGAATTAATGACCACTCCAGTGCCCACCAGGCTATAACTAAATTTAGACTATCCAGACTTATCCACATAAGCTTTTATGTTAGTGATCTCTGACTAGACAGAATTTGGGTGACAGCTCTCCATCTTCCGTCAGCTGGCTTATTGCCCATAAAATTCTTTCTTCTCCTGTCACTCAGTCCCTCAAATTATTGGCTTCATCAAGTAGCAGTGGAACTGGACTTTTGATGGTTCCAAGCCTCCCAGACAGCTACCGAATGTTCCACTAAACAACAAAACACATTCAATACATTATTCTCAACTACACATGAAACATTCTCCAGAAAAGACTACYTGTGAAAGCAAAAAATAGAAAAAGAAGTCACAGAAAGTATATCCTCTGACTACAGAACAAAAATAGAAATCAATATCAGAAGGAAATTGAGAAATTCACAATAGGTAGAAAATAACACACTTCTAAACATCCACTATCACAAGGGATATCTGAAGTACAAAGGATTACATGGAAAATTTTAAGTATGAATAATTACATAGTTTCTTCTATGGTTTGATTAGGGTGGTGATTATATGATTATAATGATTAGCAAAATTCCCACTGTACACATATAATTGGTGAATTGAATTTTATAACATTTAAATAATACCTTAAAATAAGAAAGAAAGAAAAAATTAAGGCTTAGAAAAGTAATACCTGTTAGTGTTTTTCCTGCATTCAGAGGAGGAGCAATGACTCTGAAAAGCTTCTGCATTAAAATTAACAAAAAAAAMAACATCATTTCAAAGGACAACATTTTTTAAAGATAATCAAGAATCTTATTTTATCAATTTCCTTTCTCTGATGGAATTYGATTAAATATAAAAACTTAATGTGTACATGAACTATTTAGAAATAGCACAATGGAAAATCATTGTGATATTAAACATTGAATACCAGTTACATGAAGGTCTTTGCTGAGATTATAATTTTTGATAYAAGACTTAGGTTCTTAAAGAGGCTTTCTTCTTTTAAGAAAATAAGCAAATGAAGAGATTAATATCTCACCAAAGTGATGATGAAGATTACTTTAAGCTGAAAACATCTAAACATCCATAGCATAGAAAAAACTATTTTAATTTAAGCAGGGCCTCCCCAAAATATAGTCTCATGGAACCCCTAGAAGGAGTGTCTTATTTGGGAGAAGACTGACCTTGCCCAAGGAGATGCAAATTCAGTTTCTATTAGCATCAAAAAGCCTAGAACTTKCCATACCTTCCCACTGAAGTCCCAACTCCACTGTCTCCCCCATTTTTGTTAAGCTGGTATACAAAACTTCACCTCTGGCTACTCAGCAGAGCTACTTATTAGTGAGTGCTCCTATGGATAAGCCTTGTCTTTTCTCCTGTAAATATGTATATTGTCAGATAAATTCACACCCTCCTCGACACCCCCTTTGTTGTCTCCCATCATTGAGACCTAAGTTAATAGAGGAAACATTTGTCCTCTTAACACAAGGCACTACTTTTCCTTCAGAAGCAGCCAAAACTGAACAAAGGAAAGACTTCAGAGGCTACAGTAGTCACTTCAAATGGGATGACAATGTCTTTCATTTAGAAAATCTAAAAAATTTCAAAAGACAGGATATCTTCTCTTAATGCAGACCTCCCCAAGTGCTAAAAGAGCTAAACTTTAAACACTGAAAAGTGATTTCCTTATAGACAGAGAATTATAAAAGAGGAACCACCTAACCTCCCATGGTTAAAATCTCTAAAATGACTGTTTATAACAAATACCAAGCTCCTGCTGAAAGCCATTAAACTTAGAAACTACTCTGAACACAAAAAAGGCAACCTCAATAGCCTGGTGTTCCATTTGAGATGTATAGGTATAAATGTAAATCAGACTGTGAGGAATAAAACAATCCACACAAAAGAAAAATTTCAAAAGCAACATAAAAGTCAGCAATCATTTTTGTAAATGTAGAATGTATCAAATTTGGATCTGCTTTGAGGGATTACTTTGAGATACACTAGAAACTGAATTAATTCTTCCCAACTGGGGACTAGTGTTGGCACAGAGAACATTTCTGTACATAGGATAGCACTGGACCTCACTGAGGAGGTAGCTAAGTCTTTCTCAGGGCCTTTCTCAGTAATGAACCTKGATGATTTAGCAGCTGAGAGGTATTAAGAGAAAGAATTCTTTCTTAACATATACACAATCAGGGTCAAAACCTGAAGAGTAGGGATGAAGCACTCAAGAGATGAGAGGTACAACTAAATTTGAAGAGTTATGAATTAAAGGAATAAACACACTACCAAGCTAGTATGCTCAAAGAAGGCYGAAATTCCGTAGAACAACTGCAGACTTAGTAATACTGAGAACAGTTTTTGGATGGTATTAAATTTGCCAAATAAAATTGACTAGATGTTTTCAGTGGATTCCTGACTCTGTTGGGGTGCATTAGTCACTATAACAAAGCAGTGGGTTGGGGGTATACCACATATATCTGCAGCGCCATTATCCAATCTGTCCTTAAWGTAAGGCAATGACAAGATGGATAAAATAAAAGCATAAATGCTTTTTTAACTCTCTTGGAAAGGAGAATAAAAAATTACCACAAATGTTATAAAATTTCAAATTTGGAAAAACAGTACATTAGTAACTAACAAATAATGACATCCTACCATTCTCAGGACCTCCCTCAGCAGAATGTATATGCAAAACAGCAGTAAGTAACAACACATTTATTATTTACAATAATTATATAAAACAAATTTCTTAAACMTTTTAGAAAAGTTGCTACAGTTGAAAAATTCCTTGGAGGAAAAAAGCTTACAGTCTAACAAGTAAGCATTACTTTTAATTTTTTCAACTGTTCCCTGGGATATAAATTTCTATTTACATGGATAGGCAAGAAAACAATGGCAGAAGACATGAAATTAAAGACTGCTGGGCTGAGGTGTAGCTCAGTGGCAGAGCAAATGCTTATCATGCATGAGCCCCTGGGTTCAAGCCTCAGCACCAAAAATTAATTAATTAATAATTTAAATAAAGACTACTTAAAAGACCCAAGCTAAAACAGATGCAAGTCTAATAAATCAAGAGGAAATTTTAAGATAATCAGATGTTCAAAGCAAAATAAGAACAGGGAAAAAATTAGTAGACAATATTAAATGTTATGTCTTAAGTTACAAAATACCTTACCTCCATTGGACTAATAAACTCATTCATGCCTCTGTTATAGACATAGATCATAGCATCATATAGACGATTTTCCCAGCACATGAGAACTACCTATAAAAAAGGAAAAGTCACTTGATCTATATAATTTAGTAAGTTTCACCAATTAAACCACTTAAAGCTTTAAGAATGGAAAATATCTTGAGTTTTCTTCCTTATTTGTTCTTCTTTCTTCTCTGGTAAAAACTGAAATTGAAGCAACTCAAACATAATGGCTAAGTAACAGATATTGTAGGTTCAATATTATTTTAATAGTATAATAACTACTTTTAAACGTTGTCCAATGTCTAATTTTATTTCCTCTCTCTCCTTTCCATTATTCATTTTGCTTTTTCTCAATAGTTCTACAACTATTTACCAAACACTTATATTTGGGTCCTCTTAGGCACTGGGGATAAAATGACAGACAAATCAGATCTATTCCCTACCTTTATAGAGCTTACATTTATCCTAGATACCCAATTAAAAAAAAAAGAGGAGTACAAAATAGTATGAATTTTGATGTAGAGAAGATATTCAAGTATACAAAAAATTAATGACCTACAAATATGAAAAAACATTATAAAGGAACCTAACTTGATTTGGAGTATTCAAAAAGTCATCCCTGAGCCAGGTGCAGTGGCATGCACCTGTAATCCCAGCAGCTCGGGAGGCTGAGGCAGAAGGATCGAGAGTTCAAAGCCAGTCTCAGCAATTTAGCAAGGCCCTTAGCAACTCAGTGAGACCCTGTTTCTAAATAAAATATTTTAAAAGGGTTGGGGATGTGGCTCAATGGTTAAGCACCCTGGGGTTCAATCTCTGGTACCAAAAAAAGAAAAAGCTGAGAGTACATGCAACATTTAAGCTAGTACCTAAAGGATGCATGCATGGGGACAAAAAGCAGAAAAGGAAATGAGGGATTCTGCAGRCAGAAGACAACCAGGACGAAAGAACTATAGTGAAAAGGAGCTTGAAGTATTTAAGGATGGAGAGAAATCACCTTGATAAAACACACACAMAAAAGGAACAGTTATGACTTGAACTACAGGTTATTCTATATTCTGTTCCTATGAGAATTATATAATACCATTGAGTGACAAGAGGACTGAAGTAGAAGATCAGAGGTTGGAGAATGATAGAGACTAGCCAGAGGGTTAAATAGAAAAATGGAAGTGAGGTGTCCTGGGAGAGTGTTTCTAGAAAATGGATGTTCTGGGACTCTTCTCTTCTTTCTCTATCCTCTCTTTAGCCAGTGCCATGCTCATACATCTCTTTACTGATAACTAACGCACTTGTAACCTCAGCCTTAACCTTCTCTCTGACCCATCCAACCACTTCCTTAATATCTTCACCTGAATGTTTAGCAGCTATTTCAAAATAAAATGGCAAAGCAAGACTCCTCATTTTGTCTCTCAGACTAAGACTTCTTCCAGTCTTCCAATCTTCTTAAAGGAATCACTATCCATCCTATTTCTCAAGCTATTAAACAAAACAAAAACTTGGACATTGCCTTTTAATTCTCTCATTCCTACACTGACATCTAATTCATCAGTAAATCAATTATACCTCCCAAACAGCAAAAATCAGGCTGACTCTCTCCATCTCACTGCTACCATCTCTGGAACCAGGGTGATCTTTCTTTAAAAATGGTAAGCGGGATGCAGTAGTACATGCCTGTAATCCCAGTGGCTAGGGAGGTTGAGGCAGGAGGATCATGGCAAGAGGATTGCAAGTTTAAAGCCAGGCTCAGCAACTTAGTGAGGCCCTAAGTAACTCAGTAAGACCCTGTCTCTAAATAAAATACAAAAAAAAAAAAAAAAAAAAAGGCTCAGGATGTGGCTCAGTGGTTAAGTGCCCCTGGGTTCAATCCCCGGTACCAAAAAAAAATTCTAAAGAACCCAGAATAAAATGGGAAAATGTGTACCTCGCCCTGCAGAGTCTACTTCTCTTTTCCATTATGTTCCAGATCTGCTTGCCCTTTTACTGTTACTTGAAAATTCGAGGCAGAATCTTCTTTTTTTTTTTTAAACATTAGCTTCACCTATAATAGTCTTCTATTCAAAGATCTTTGCATTACTGATCCTTCTTGTCATTCAGATTCTAAGACTCAATGTCACCTCCTCAGAAAGATTTTCTATAATTAGCCAATCTAAAGTAACTTCTCATTCTCTACTATAGCACACTACTTATGCTAATTTACCTCTCATACCATTCTCTGCATTTCAAAATTTAACTCTGACCTTATATACTAGCTATCTAAAAAGTGGCATCATATGGGCTGGGGTTGTGGCTCAGCAGTACAGTGCTCTCCTAGCATGCATGATGCACTGGGTTTGATCCTCAGCACCACATAAAAATAAAATAAAGATATTGTGTCTACCTAATATATATATATATATTTTAAATGGCATCATTCTCTTAGGTAAAAATATTCTATTGTTATGTGAAAGGACCCTTAGTTGAACAAACAAACTGGGATCAATCAAKAAGCATTTATTGAGCAATGTCAACTCTATGCCAAGAGCTCTGGAGAATGTTAAAGAAATATAAGGCATAATCTCCGTTTTGCAAGCATTATATTATCCAGCTTACATACAGTCCTAAGCTTATATAGAGTCCTAACAACTATACTGAAAAATACAAGTTTATAAGACAACTTGCCAGAAGTACTCAATTGGGCTTTTAGAGARGCAGAGAAAGGCCTTACCAGTCAGGTAAATAAAATCAATAAAGGAATAATATTTATTCTGTTAAGTTAATATGCTGTCTATAAACTCACCTGCTGAATATCTAGGCTGGTGATATCCATATGTACAATGAGGGATTCCACATTTTCCATTAATTTTTTATCTTGGAAATGAACAATCAAGTCTTTCATAACCTGGGGTGTGATCCCCACCAATTTATCACTCAAAATATATGGTTCAAGGCACTCCAGAAACACTCCTTTGGCCACTGAATTCTCACTTAATTTGTCATACATCTGGCTAAATAAAAGATCCCTATAACAGAGAGGGAAAAATAATTTTAGAAACATTCCAAATACCCATTAAATTTGGTCTGCTTAGTATATATCATCCCCCTGCATTTCAAGAACTTAATAAAAACAGTAACAATATCTGTGTAGTTTTATATTGTAAAAGTCTTTATGTCAATATRTATCTATATGTAGATATATACAGATACAGATATTAATCTTCCCAATACTTCTTTTTATAAATAAGAGAAACTGAATAACTGGTTGCTGAAAGGCACATAGTGAACACAACAATCAGAATTGGAAACCAGACTTCTGGCCTAAATTCTTTGTTCAGTCTATTATGGTACACTGTTTCTTACAGGCAGAAGTAAAGGGTGTAGGTAGGAGAGCAGCCATGATGGGGTAGGGGAAAAAATGACTATTTATAATTTAACTTTTCTATTATCTAAATATTATAGGTGACCTTCAGAACCAATAAACTTCTTTAGCTCCAAACTTTTCTTCCCAAAGGGATTGGGCAATGATTATTAATGAGAGAAGAAGAAAAATGTTTAATGTTTAAAACACATACCTAGAAACAATTTTATTGCAGAAAAAAATTTAATTACTCTCAGTGCCACCAACTTCAACACTATGTGCGACTCATCTCATATTTCTTCTGTAAGCAGTCCATAATTTGAGGTATACTTAGCATAAACAGTTTGAATTCTGTTTTCATGACATATGATATGATAAGTRTTATTCTAAATAGCTATTTACTCTTCTGAGGGGTAGGGTTTGTAGAAGTCTGCAATTTTAAATATATTTAAATAYATTTCATTTATTTAATTGTTTGTTTAGTGATGGGGGTCTCACTATGTTGCTCAGGCTAGACTCAAACTCCTAGGCTCAAGTGAACCTCCCATCTCAACCTCCTGAATAGCTGGGACTATAGGGGTGAGGCACTATACCTGGTTTATTYTTATTTTTTTAAAAGAGAACATAATGTATGTTTATGGGAAACAATGTGATATTTCAATACTTGTATACAATGTATAATGATCAGATCATGGTGATTGGCATATCCTTTACCTCCAACATTTATCATTGCTTTGTGTTGGGAACATTCAAAATCCTATCAGCGATTTTGAAATATACAGTTAATTGTTGTTAACCATAGTTGTCCTACTGTGCTCCAAAACATTAGAAGTTATTCCTTGTATTCAACTGCATTTCTGTACCCTTTAATCCTCCTTTCTCCATCCCCTGTTACCCCCTATCCTTGCCAGCCTCTGGTAACCATTATCCTACTCTTTATTTCTATGAGCTCAACTTTTTAGCCTCTAGACATGAGAACATGCAGTATGTGTCTTTCTTCGACTTGTATCATTTAACATAATGTCCTCCAGGTTCATCTATGTTGCCATAAATGGCAGAACCTCACTCTTTTATGTCTGAAGAGTAATTTCACTGTGTATATCTACCGTATTTCCTGTATCCATTCAGAGTTGATGGATCTTTCAGTTGATTCCATATCTTGCTATTGTACATTGTTCTGTAATACACAAGGGAGTACTGGTATTTCTTCAACACTTTGAATGTCTATTCAGTAGTGGCATTGCCGAATCATATGGGAGCTCTACTTCTAGTTTCTTGAGGAATCTCTAYACTGTTTTCCATTTTGACTAGACCAACAGTGTATAAGAGTTTCCCTTTCTCAGTAGTTACTTACTCTGTAAAATTACTATTTGTTTAACAATGCTTCAACATCAGAATTTGCTTAACTATTCTTATAATGTTGGATATGTCACTATATTTGCTTTTTCAGGTGATGTCACGATAAACATCTACATATATGCCSTTTTCCACGTTGAGGGCACAATTAGTTAGTCATTCAACTTTTAGAAATTTAACTTAAGTGAAAAGATATGAGGAGTAGGGGTTGTAGGTGAGTAATAGAGTGCTGGCCTAGCATGTGAGAGGCCCTGGGTTTGATCCCTAGCAAAAGGAAGAAAAAGAAAGAAAGAAAGAAAGAAAGAAAGGAAGGAAGGAAGGAAGGAAGGAAGGAAGGAAGAATAAACTTGAAATGTGTGACTAAATGTGCACTTGAAATGTGTGATTAAATTATCTTCAAAAAGTATCACAGTATCAATTAACAGTGCCACCAGCAATATATTATCATATGAGTTTCATGAGACAACTGGTTTTTCCTCTTAATATTTTAACAAGTACAAATTAAACAACATCATTGTTTTTAATTTTTTATAAATGGCAAAATTGAACAATTTCTGTTTTAATTCACAAACTTTATTGTCTTGTATCATTCACTTATTCATTCCATTTTTAAAATATAAAAACTATGCTAATTTTATTTACCTATTAGGTTCATTAATTTTGTTGATATGTATAATTTATATATCTTGTCAACTATTCAACTGTTGGAAAATGGTGGATGATTTGTTTATCCACTTGTCTATTCATGACAAGTTCCAATAAAAGATCAAGGAAGCTCTTGACCTTTTAGAGACTGGGGTTGGGGGTTTAGCTTGGTAGCAGAGTGTAGCTTGGCACACTCAAGGCCCCAAGTTCAGTGCTCTGGACATCAAAAGAAAAAAACAAAACAAACAAAAGGAATGGGATGGGGTTTTGCCTCATCTGAAGTCCTAGAAGTGGATAGGTGGCAGACTGTCTGGCTTCAACTATACTAGAATCACATGTCACCTTCCAAGGAATAGCATTCATAACATCCTGGGGGAAAATCCATATCCATTTATTTTTTCTCAAATACACAAATATAACTTTTCCATCATTTTCCCCTTTGCTTCACATTTATCAGAATATTTTTCATGTTAGTTTCATTTTAATCAATAAGTCATCACACTTTGTGATTACCGATTACTAGCCAGGCAAAAGAAACTAAGATTAATCAAGTTTTACTATAAAAAAAATAACAAAATTATGAATTCACAGAAAATGTCATGTTTCACAGACCTTGTACTATATAATGTATTTTTAAAAAACAACATGCTAAGGAAGATAATTACATATTTTAGTTCAATACAAAAAGCCTTGACAAGGAGAATAAAAGATAGCTAAAATTTAAGTAAAAAGAGCATAAAAGTTGACCGACAAGGTGCTCCTGTGACAAAGAGTAGCATGCAATTTGATAAGATTAATGGCAAGACCACACATTTTATTTTTAACTAATCAAAAGCTATAAAAAGGCAGCAAAAAAAAGTAAAATTCAGCAACTCCTACCTGCATCTCTACCTCAAAATAAAAAACAACAGAATTCTAAGGCATAGTTTCATCTTTCTGGGAGAATATTTATTAGGGCATCAGGAGAGGGAGGAAAGAGATAAGCACGCGCGCGCACACACACACACACACACACACACAACAGTTTTTAGCTCTCATGTTTCTTTCTATATTTAGGTATTCTCCAGGGTGCAGACTTTGTTTCCTAGAAGAGCTGGCTAGATTCAACCCTGCTATTACCATTTCAAGCTGAGCTTCCTATAACAACTATCACAGAAAAATCCACCATGAATAAGAGAGAGCCATCAAAGAGATTTTTCTAATACTCATACTAAAGAGATTTTTGAAGTTTATCATTTTTACATCAAATAGAGAAAAATGGCTAAATTCACTTCATACATTATCAATTGAATAATTTTATTAATATGAACTGCTTTGATTATGAGATAATTACAAATTTTGAGACAGAGAGCCTGGGTATCATAATCAAAAGTACCTGCCAATTATACTAAATATGTAACCAGAACCAAATAAATTAATTTCCATTAAATATAAGTGAGATTTAATAAATTCAAAGTTGATTTGGTGTTTTCTTGTGTACTTTTACTGTATAAAAGCAAAATTCAAGTGAACTTTAAGAAGTTGTGTTCAAAATGTTGTAAAGATTTTTTTAAAAAAAGCACGAATTAACTTGATGTGGAAACTAYTCAATTATATACTTTAAAAGGATAAATTTTATGGTATGTGAATTATACCTCAACAAAGCTATTATAAAATTAAAGATATGGTACCTTTCTCCCCTATTTTTTAATAATTAAAATTTAAACAGGCAGTTATCAAGAAAATGGTCACCCAAAACATCTAGTTCCTCAAACATGCTTCATGATTAAGATATTTCTGTTTCTCAAACACTAGGCCTGATRTTGAACAACATGACTGAACAAACACTCTGCATATCAAAAAACCACTGAAGCTTCACTTTGGATTTAACAGAAATACTTTTGGTTCAACTTCCTATATAACTTTAGTCATTTGAATGATGGCTTCTCAACAGCTCTGRAGATTTCCTTAGAGAAATATAGTGGTCAATATCATGTACAGAGAACATTAATCTTTTTTTACTTTATAACTGCTTTATTGATATAATTCGCATATAGTAAATGTATATTTTTAAACAATGTTCAAAATTATGATTATGTTTCACATAAGCTCTGGAGCTATTTCCAAAATAAAACTGCCATTATAGCTACTAGAGAGTTATACAGTATGTATGTTTATAGGCAAAATGACCAATCATTAAGAGTCCTATAAAAAGCCTTGAAACAGTTTGTATTGTTTGTCTCAAACTGAAAAAAAAAAAATTAAAATAAAATTGTAGAATAGAGACTGAATTATGAAAATAAAGTACAAATATACAAACACAGAATTCCTGTCATTTCTGATTTTAAGTAAATCACAAAAACTCTAAAGCCAAATCTTAGTCCATAATGATGTCCATGATACACTGATYAGTATGCCCTATAAGAGAAAAACAAATGTGGTTCCTGCCATAATATGAAGGACTTTATATTATAAAAGAGATATTAAGTATATATTAAAAAGAAATATATATGATATGTACATTGGTTCAATTAATATTGCTGGGTGTAAGGGTATATGAATTATACTATGAGGTAATAATGGTGATTACAGTGTAATAATGGTGATATTGAGTTAAAATTAATGTCAGAGAGTATATTACAAATATAATTTGGCCCTCATAAGAAATAATATGATTTATGAAAATAAAAAGACAAAATTTGATCCCTAGCAAGAAAGTGGCTGGGGCGGGGGTGGGGTGCGGAGTGCGCCTGAGTGCAGTGGTACATGTCTGGAATTCCAGCAACTTGGAAGGTTAAGGTACAAGGTCGCAAGTTCAAGGCCAGCTTAGGCAACTTAGTGAGACCCTGTCTCAAAATAAAATTCAGGGCTAGTGATGTAGCTCATTAGTAGAAAGCAACCTGGCATTCAACTTCCAGTACCACAAAGAGAGTGAG